TTGTGTACTGAAGGAGGAGTGTATGAATTAGACAATAAAATCAAGTAATTAATTACTTAATTAATTATTTATTATTATTATTATCATTATTATTATTATTAATAGGCTATTGATCCATAAGGATATGGTTGATTATGGTCTGAGGGTTGGGTCAGTTATTACAATAGATAATGTCCACCTTATCAATGAGTGGTTCTGGAGAGGATTCTATTGTTGCATCGTCTCTCATTTATTAGTAGTCTCATTCTCTACTGATGGAACTAATCATCATCAAGTAAGGACATGTACTTGTACAGTCTAATACATTATATATACTGATGTAACTGGGAACTGTTCTGAACCATATACTTGTACTTATGTTGGGTAGAAAGTTTGAGCTGGTTCCGATCAAATTTGGAATTTTTTACGAATTTTTAAAGTTTCTCCAAAATTGGACAAAAGTCCCTGTACTATAGTACAGGGTCATGAGCCAAATTTTGCCAAAAATGAAAAGTAGAGAATTCTTAACTTTTATTACATTTTCTGATGCATATACATGTACATGTACTTATGTTATGTAGAAAGTTTGAGCTGGTTCCGATCAAAATTGGATTTTTACGAATTTTTAAAGTTGCTCCAAAATTGAGTAAAAGTCCCTGTACTATAGTACAGGGTCATGTGCCATATTTTGCCAATAATGAAAAGTAGAGAATTATCAATTTTTATTACATTTCCTGATGCATATACATATTTTTATGTTGCTTTGAAAGTTTAAGCTGATTCCAATCAAAATTGGATTTTTTACGAATTTTTAAAGTTGCTCCGAAATTGAGTAAAAGTCTCTGTATATAGTACAGGGTCATGTGCCAAATTTTTCCAAAAATGAAAAGTAGAGAATTATCAATTTTTATTACATTTCCTGATGCATATACATGGACTTATGTTGTGTAGAAAGTTTGAGCTGATTCCAATCAAGTTTGGATTTTTTACGAATTTTTGAAGTTGTTCCAAAATCGGGCTAAAGTCCCTGTACTATAGTACAGTGTCTTGGTTTTGCCAAAAATGAAAAGTTGAGAATTGTCAATTTTTATTACATTTCCTGATGCATATACATGTTCTTATGTTGCGTAGAAAGTTTGAGCTAATTCTAATCAAGTTTGGATTTTTTACGAATTTTTTAAGTTACTCCAAAATCAATTAAAAGTCCCTGTACTATAGTACAGGGTCACAGGCCAAATTTCACGAAAAATGAAAAGTTGAGAATTGTCAATTTTAATCAAATTTTTTGATGCATATACATGTACTTATGTTGTGCAGAAAGTTTGAGCTAATTCCGATCAAAATTGGATTTTTTTTACAAATTTTAAAAGTTGCTCCAAAATTAGACAAAAGTCCCTGTACTATAGTACAGTGTCACGGGCCAAATTTGCCAAAAATGAAAAGTAGAGAATTCTCATATTTTATTACATTTCCTGATGCATATACATGGACTTATGTTGTGTAGAAAGTTTGAGCTGATTTCAATCAAGTTTGGATTTTTTACGAATTTTTAAAGTTGCTCTGAAATTGGGTCAATACATTTTTATATTATTATTATTATTATTATTATTATTATTATTATTTTATTTATAGTCGCTGGTCCCCAGTAGGAACAGGTTAATTAAATTCATATCTCAACACTCACCACTGGATAAACTGTGGCTACTGGAGGCATACACTCTATTGAAGAATAAATTAACGTTAGCCAGTAATAATTAATAACATGTACATGTACAAATGATTCATTAATAAGAATACCCAATTACCATACA